ATACGAATCCGAGCTGTTTGTCAACTTGACTCCAGCGCCTACCGACTCCGGACGTTGATTCGGCTGACGGCCACGGCCGAGATAGAGACTACCAAAGGTATCTCCAGATGTAATCTCGCCGGGCAGGAAGAAATTGTTCTTGCCGTATTTCTTCGCACATTCACGGTAGACAGGGAGCATCTCACTTAAAGGCTCGAGTGTCGATTGAACACTCTTATCAAATCGGAAACCGTCAACATCGAGACTTGCGATTTGCAGGCAGGTGTGTCGAGTAAGGACATCGCGAACCGGTTTGTGCCATTCACGCAAGCGATCCTGCACTGAGGCAAACTTCGTGAGTTGGCGTTGCCAGTCGGGGAAGTTACCAAACGCCTCCAACTCTCCGTATTGATCGAAATCACTGTCATAGCAACCCTTCAAGTCTTCAACACCGCCGGTTGTTATCGGGTAACCATCCTCGGCCCAGAAACGAGGATAGTTGCATGTTTCGTTGTACTCGTTACTGAATTGGAAATCAGCGTATCTTCTGTCTGTGACCCATTCGACTTGGTATTCTTGTGCACGGAAATCGGCAGAATCGTTCAGATGACCTTTGAACCCGATCAGGTTGCTCAGTCTGTTCTTGGGGGTCAGCTCTGGATACCCTAACATCTGGAGCATTGCAGGGCTATCGACTTACGTTGACAGCGTATTATCCACCACGACGTACATACCTCGGTCGTGAATCTCGGTGATCGTCCGCCTCCAATCCTCCAGTGTGCCCAAATGCATGTCGAGCAGAGTGGTATCGACTGGCGAGTACCCATCGTAGGCCCAGGGCAGGTTCATTAAATACGTCCCGGCGAAATAGATGACCTAGGAGAGTTATGGAGAGTTAGAGAGAGTTAATGATGAAATCATTTAGGGATCTGGTCAGCTCACCTTAAAGCCCATACCCTGGATATAGTCCAGTGTATCTATCAAGCCTTCCAGATCACCACCGTGGCGCATCTGATTAGAGTTGAGCACATGCTCAAAGGTGGTCCCGTTGATATCATCGTTGGTAGGATCGCCATTGGAGATACGGTCCAAAAAGATTGTATATGTAGGGAGTCGCCAGTTATCTGGCGACGGATGGTATTTATGGTCCGGCCATACTCCCCAGTAATCGATAGGGCCGTCAGCGTCTTTATTATCGTTCAGGTTATAATCAGCGAGGGACTCGCTGTAGGGCCAAGAGACGGCAAAGACGCTCAGAAACGAAAGTATGAGGAATACTGAGCGCTGCATCTCCGTATAGATTAAGCGGGTGTCAAGTAAGAGCCTGCTACCGGAAACCGCGTGACTCAAGCCTTGCAAACGAATGGAAAAAAAAAAAAAAAAAAAAAAAAAAAAAAAAAAAAAAAAAAAGAATGAAAAAGAGAAAAAAAGCTTTTATGCGCGTTGAGAGGAAGCGAGAGCGAAATGAATAGAAGAACAAATGACGCCACTGGAAACAATCATTTGGACTTCCGCAAATTTACTATGGGAAACCTTCGAGGCCCTTATCGGGCCGAACGATGGATGGGCTATACCGGGCCAACTGGTCCACTATACCTCTCCCACTGCTGCAGACCCTAGGTCAGACCCACTTTAACAGATTTTGTCGATCCACCAATGACTTTTTCGTAGGTCCTGGATGGTCGCGTTTTAGGTCGGTGTCTCAGACAAACCAAGTGAAGGATTTGATTTCACACTACTCCATGCAAAGGAGAGTTTTGGTGAACATACGGGTGCAGCCGACACACACGGCGCAGTGTATATTTTGGGAATTTCCTATAGAGCAAAGCCTCCGCCCTACTTTCTGGGTTGTTCTTCTCTCCCTTGGTTCGGCGTTATTTCCACATGGTGCTATCCAGAATTAGAGAAAATTGGGTATCATCAGTACGGGTGATTGGCTTATCATTGCAACGAATCGTGACGATCAGCCAAGGTGTTCGAGGATAAAACCTTCTAGAAACACCGAAGAACAATTGCTGAGCGATCAAGTCCATAAGTTGACACATTTCACTTTCTCTGTTTTAAGGCAGCGCGGTAAAGCCGGGTATCTTGCTTCTATTTCGATCACAATTCTAAAATGCTTGGTTACCGTAAAGTGCTGTCAGTCCTTCAGGGCTTTTGAATCTGATTCCGGACGCCACCCGGGAGCCCCTGGCGTCACATCAGAGGCTTCTATCGCCGAATGTCAGGTGATTTGGAAAATGTGTTAGCACCTGATAATCATGTGCTTCTTCACCGCCCTCGTTTTGCCAATTTAGGTAGCTGGCCGGTCTGCTCGACCGACCACCCAATCAGCTACTCTTTCCCATATATTCATAGGTTACCGACAAGGATAAGGCTAAGGAATCCGATAGTCAGCTAAACGATCCTACAGACCAGGCGGGAGCTCCCTGCATCTTCGCCCATATTGCAAGAAAGGACGCCACCTGGAGGCTGAATGTTGGACCAAACACCCTGATAAACGCCCTCCACCGGAAAATGATCGACAGCGAAATCAAGCAAATGGCTTAGCCAACTTGATAGATGTCAATGACTTTGCTAGAGTCAATGAAGAGTGGGTATTGGATACTGGTACCGCCTGGACAATCGCCCATGATCGATCCCTATTCATCAGCTTCCTTCCGGTGTATTCAGGCAAGGTCAACCTACCAAACGAATCAGACAATCCTGTGATGGACTTAGGTAGTATCCGGTTGCCTTATGGCAATGAATTCATTGTCCAAAACGCCCAGTACGTACCTGCTCTTAAGCAGAAGAACCTACTGTCTTTCGGCCATTTAGTCAAGCTTGGATTTCAATTTGATTATATGGACAATTCACGGCTTTCTTTCGCAATCCGGAATTCTGATGGTCATGATGGCCATAGAACATGCAGAAAAAAGACTGATAGTGTGTATGTACTCCAACAACCCAATAATCAGGCACTCATTGGCGCAGTTACCACTTGTCACAGTGCACGAGCACACAAGCACAAGTGTGCGCAACCCAATATCAATGAGGATATATATAGTTTTGCTATATATAGCCCATTTTGGTTGATTAGTGATTGGTCCTTGTGACCCACGATATTGGCGTTGTGGGTCGGGAATGCTTCTACATACGGGCGGGTCGCGATTGGTCTCACATTTCTAATCTTTTTGATACGTGTAGGTAGGTAGGTAAGTGGATTTCATTTACTGTACACTGACTTTTCGCCGAAGTTAGAGCCCTGGATTGAGATACAAATGTGATCATTATATTCAATCTATGAGAGAAGACCCAGGTATTTATAGTCGCAGTAGCTCATCTCCCTACTACTAGCGGAGTAGCAGCCTGTAAGCGGTCTTTTTTCAAAATTATTGTCGAAACAACAGCACCGGGTGGTGATATTGAAAACCTTCTGGATTAGCTTGACCAGTGATTTGAACACTTCAAAGAGCTGATACTTTTTATCGAATTGTGCGCTCCACTTATATCGTGAACAGTTGTCTGATGAACAAGAAATACCTAGTGCCGTCGAAGCTCTCGATTGGGTATGGCCTCCACACGTCAACATGCAACATCCACCCCGGCTCTTGAGCATGACGTTTGGCAGGGTTGCGTGGGATCTTCACCAGGGCCCGTGTAGTCGCACCTACGGGACACATAGCCTTGAGCTTGGCTTTGATTTGCTTCTTTGTGATTTCATTCCAGTGGAAGTACCGGGAATCTCCAACATGCTTTGAAACCCTAGGTGTCCTAATCTGCGATGCCATTTCTATACAGAGTCAAGTGAGTTGAGGATATATGCAGCCGTCGTTAAGCTCGACCAATTGTCAATTTTGCCCTTTTCTCGTTGCCGCTCTAAAAGTGTTGGCCGGTGAGCATGGCCATGCGAAACCAAACGGTACTTTAAACATCATTTGACAGAAGTACTCGGAACGTACGACTTACTGCTACTCAACCGTATCCATGGGTAGATATGATTAGATGGTTATAGGATTAGGGACTATGGCTATGCAGCCAACATCCTTCTACTATGGCCAGTGCATACATACATCATGCACTATACTCTCTTTGTCTCTTTGAGCTCCTTTCGCAACAATTTCCCTTAGTAACTAGCCACCATGTTTTCTATAGATAGGCCTTAGGATCGATAGGTTTCCTCAATCAAAGTTCCCCCTCTATCCACTCGAAATAGTGTCAAAGACATCCAACCAAGCATTGCAGTCTGTTCTTGTCACGACAGATAGTTCTGACAAATTGACTTCCGTTATATGCATTTGCGGATTTCGGCATCGGCATAAGCTTTACGAGGTCATTTGTACTGGGGCCTTTTTTTCCTCTGATCCAGCTAATGTCTCATGCTTCTTCAGCACCTTGTGGAAGAGCCTGGGTTGGAGAAAAGACCATCTTCGAGTGAAAAAAAAAGCTCTATATCTAAGCTTTGGGACTCAGATAATTCCTATCGACGGCAGAACTCTCAAGATGGCTTTGCTTCTTGCTCGCCGTATTCAGAGGACCCAGAGAACTGTCTAGACCCAACAATTAATAGCTGTCTCTAGTAGCAATTTGGTCTTCATGTAATATGACCCAGTAACAATGGTTCTCTTTCCTTGTATAAGGCTAATGCAATCCAACATGAGAATAGCTGGCATGGTTGGAATGAGGAGATGCCCAGAGTCTGTCATGCAGGCAACATCACTACGCTCAGAAGAATCTCTAAAAGATCATGTTCCGATAAGTTCCGCCCGTTTATTCAACGTAGTATTAATTTGGCTTGAGTACCCCGTTTGTTTTGTCAAATCCATGGTGGCGTGTTGTTTAGCGCCGTACCTTTGTCTCGAACCCCGTATAATCAACAAACGCTAAGCCATGAAAACCCCGCACCAGCAATGTAATAATTGCATACATATAATCGAAGGGTTCCAGGCTTGGAATAAGCATCAAATTAATTTACTTCGCTCCATTGGCAAAGCCCCCCTTATTCTGCCATGTCTTCCACCGACAATACTCGTGTGAATATGGTCCCCAAGTCAGCACTCGCAAATATAAGTCCTCCCAGTTCCCCACCACAAACGGATGAATTCGAAAGGGGAGCCTGGAACGAGTCTGAAGACAAGTTTTACTTGTCAAGAACACCATCTACTCTGCCTTACACTCCGCCAACGAGTCCTCCGCCAGATGTGTCTAAGTCTACGACCGCAGACAAAGCATTAACAGAGGAGATAACCCAGCTGAGTGTTTCATCGTTGAGAACTCTACTTGGTATTGACAACTGGAAATGTGGATGTATCACATCAAAGGGGCACCCTTGCAAAATGCCAATATCGAATCTCAAAGCGGATATCAACATGCAGATTGGGCTATTGACGAACCCCAATCATTCTACGCAAAAGCTCAGGGATGAACTCTACAAGCTGGCTAAGCTGGTACACTGTCGTTACCATGATGACCGCACACGGATATGTTCTCGGGTTGACAGTTGGAGGAATGCCTTCTCTTTCAGAGAAAGCACTGAAGAGCAGATTGAGAGAACTTTGCGATATTATTCTGCATACTGTGCTGGGGTGACAAAGCAAGGAAATTCCTGTCATAACAAAATGGGCGGGCAGTGTGTCCAGAACCGTGCAAAAACCATTAATAAGATTCTTACCCCAGATATATATCTGGATGATGATGGCCTTGACTATTTTCTCCTGGTTCTGAAAGAGAACATGTTTTGCTGCTGGCATATCAACTATCAAGGTCCTGAGAAAGTTGAAATATGGAAAAAAGAAATTCTGAAGATTCGCAAAGAAAGAAGTCCAGTGTTAGCACCTCCAAAAGAAAGCAATATGCCAGAGGATGAGGGCAGCCATACTTTTTGTCATAACAACAACGTGACTAAATCGCTCTTGAGCACAAGCAAGGACAATCTTGACTTGCAAGATGACGACTTGACAGCACAATCTACATCTCAAGATCCTGATAATGATCCAGCCACTTATTGGCCACGGAGATTTGACACCACCCCTTTTGACATCATCGCCACAAGTGATCAATCCAACGATTTCAAGTCATCATTTCCCGAGATCTATAGCGAATTGACGAAACCACTGGTGCCAGAAGACCAGAAAGAAGGGTATCTCTACGCATATGAAGTTGAAGGGAATGAAGGCTTTGTCAAGATTGGATACACCTGTCGTTTCTTGGAAAAGCGTCATGAAGAATGGGCTTTTGATTGTAACAGGAAATCCAAAGCCCTGTATCCCATTCCTTTGAATCATCAAGTGGCCGTCCCAAATGCCCATCGAGTGGAGGCTTTATGTCATGCAGAATTGAAGCATCGCAACATCAGGATTGATTGTCATGGTTGTCTAAGGCCACACATTGAATGGTTTCAATGCTCCCCCGAGGAAGCAGTTGCCGTTATTCAGAAGTGGTCTATGTGGATGTTGACATCTCCATACAAACCTGAGTCACATGAAACGTCGGCTGCGATGATCCTCAAAGAAAAGGAGAGGGTGAAGGCTGAATGCATCGACCAGTTCATGAAGGGGTTATTGGACATGGTTGCTGACCAACCCTTATCGGAAAAGTAGACTATTTAAACAGAGTGTTGTCACGGGCTCGGAATAGTAGATACAAACGAACTGGATTCCTATCTAAACCATTATAGCCATCAACGAGAATAACGTAGGTGCATAGCAAACAACGCAGCATAGCAAACGCCGCACATTCCAACTTAAGTCACCACACCGAAGGTTCTTTGTATAATTTCTCCACGTACAACCATGGAATCTACTAGCAGAGAAAACCAATTATTCCTTGCCCTCTAGACATTCAAAAATGGTAATCAACAAAGTGTACAATCTATTGCCAAGATCTACAATGTCAGTGAAGCGACCTTACATGCACAACTCAGAAGGCTGACAATCTCAATGTGCTTTGCCAGCCAATTCGCGAAAATTAACCGACTTAGAAGAATCAGTACTTGTTCAAGAGATAATAGACCTTGATTCATGAGCATTCCCTCCCCAGCTTCATGGTGTTGAAGATATGGCCAACCAACTGCTTACTGGACACGACGCGCCATGCGTTAGATCATGCTGGGCTTCCAACTTTGTTAAGCAACAACCACAGCTCCAGACGTGTTTTACATGTAAGTACGACTATCAGAGATCCAAATGCAAAGATCCAGCTATACTTAGGGATTGGTTTCGGCTCATTTAAAATATGGTGGCCAAGTACGGCATACTGGAGTGTGACGGTCTGGTCACGTTGTCTGGCTATCACGTGAGATGCAGTTGTTTGCTTTGTTGATAAATACGGCGTCACCTCCTTTCTTCCTTCCTCATGTTGATTATTCTCGTCGATAGCTACCTAGATAGAACCCATGAGTTGGATGTTCTGTTATCCTAGTAGAGCGCCATGACATGGAGTCAGATATCTGGAACTTTGATGAAACTGGTTTTATGATGGGAGTAGACTGCGGCAAATCCGCAAATTTGCGGATGTGGATGGCGAAATAGCATCCGCGTCTGCGGATTTGCTGCAGTCTAGTCGAGAGTTTCGACCCATTTGCGAATTTTGGCGATATCTACCTGTAAGTTGACGCGGCAAATTCGCAAACGCGGATGCCATTTTGCCATCCGCATCTGCAAATTTGCGGATTTGCCGCAGTCTAGATGGGAGTGATCTCGTCTGCAATGGTTACAACAACCTCAGACAGTCGTGGAAAAGCAAAGATGATGCAGCCCGGCAATTGAGAATGGGCAACAGTCATCCAGGGGGTGAATTCTCAAGGCTCAATGATACCACCATTTATCATTATTGCTGGGCAATGCCATCTCTCAACTTGGTATCGTGATAGCTCCCTGCCATCTAATTGGGTCATTGGGGTCAGTGACAATGGATGGACTACAAATGAGCTTGGCCTGGAATGGATAAAACACTTTGATAAATATAGTCGACATCGTACAACAGATGCAAAACATCTATTGGTGCTAGATGGGCATGAGAGCCACCACTCAGCTGATTTCGAGCACTGCTGCAAAGAGAATAATATTGTGACTCTTTGGATGTCTGCTCATTAATCTCATTTGCTCCAACCACTTGATATTAAATGGGGAGCGTTTAGGCGACGACTGGCAGACTATACACCGCCACGATTGTATCAATATACAAAACAAGAGCTGAGAAGCAGTTGTGAGCATTCGCCAGTTGAACATCTACCTGCAGGATTCGGACAAACAGAATGTGCTGTATTAAAGAAGTACAGGAAAGGTCACAATTTTGGACTTTGGGGGCTCATTTCCTTTTTTGGAAGGCTCCCAGGAATGAGATTCATTATCTGAACGCGGGTTCGACTCATCTAGGGTCAGCTACTAACTTGACAACTCCTGCAATTGAAACTTGGGGCACTGGCTGTGTGGTTAGTTGGGTAGCCGAGTCACTTTTCACATTTCAGGAACTTGCTGTCCATTTGTATTGGGAGATCGCTCATTGCCCTCATCAACTTTTTGGCTATATACCCAACCATAGAATTTATCAGCACATACGACCATAGGGTGTGGAGAACAGGGCTTCCCGTCCGCTCAGCCGTACTTAAGCCACACGCCGGCCGGTTAGTAGTTGGGTGGGTGACCACCAGCGAATCCCGGCTGTTGTATGTTTTTGTATATATTTTTTCTTCCCTGTGTTTTAAGGGTGATGGCCGGGTGAGCAAGTCAATGCAACACCATTTCTGAAAAACAAATGTTGCATAGTTAGACAGTATTATTACTTGACTATAGCTTCTTCCACTATTATTACTGTTTTCGAGCGGAGGATCGACTATGTTTGTAAATGTCATTTTTTGCTACTGCAATTGAGTAAAGAGAACTAACTATATACATGAAGTCAACCCCTTGTGGTTAATCTGGAACACTGCTCTATACACTGCGCAATCTTGCCCGCGGATTCTGCATTTTGAGGGATGTTATGCCCACCGTCATGTCGATACACAACCCTTTTCTCGGGATCGCACAGATGGATAAGTTGCATAGACGCGGGCAACCGAGGATCAACCCGGCCGTAGACATGCACTGTCGGAATGTTGATGCGCAATGTCTGTTGGATCTGCGTGATATCTAATCCAAACACATTACAATCCTCCACTTGAGCTGACGGATCCAGCCCGAGGTCACTGTCACCGTTTGCCCCGGGGGTCAGCCATCGGGCCTTCCCCAATTTGAGTATTGCGTCTTTAGAAGCTCGTTCACGCAGCGCTATCTTGGTCCGTCGGTCCCATTCGTGGGCAGTGGCAGAGATGGATGCTCCTAGCTCCTCGAGGACTGATAAAGCCGGCCCGCCGCAAATAAACACGACAGCTTTGAAGGGCAAGGGAATATCGGGGGTTCTTGTTTGGTGGAACCAAATGTAGCTTGAAATTAGAAGACAACCGCGCGAGAAACACACTACCCCGTCGTATGGGTCTTTCGTATGCTGGAGGAAATAGTGATGGAGATCCTCACAAGCAGCGCGGATATTGGTCGCACCGGATTGCGTCCACCACGTATAATATGGACCATCTGGATAACGTATATCTAGACCAGCCGCTGGCTTGGATGGGTAAGGCCCGTTGATAAAATGGAATTGATGGTTTGAAGACTGTAGCCGCTCTGTTATCGGGGCTATCAAAGGCAGCCGAGATTGTTAGCTTTGCTACCTTCAGTGCCTCTCATGTTGTAGAGGACATACAGAGCTGATTCTGGAAGATGGTTGCTGATGACCCTGTTCCATGAATTGAATACCAAGCCACTTCATAATGAGATTTTGCACAAAACTAAACACAGCCAGAAAAATAGAATTGGGTGGCCCATTGGGCTATGCACCCTTTATATGTTCCACTAAGAGAATGTTTGGACACCTCATTGAATGGTTTATGCATGGCTGTTGTATAAGGATTCCAAAAAGCCAATGAAAAGCTCTCAGGTGGGCAGAAAGGTTTTCAGCATTGCGCGATGTGGGGGGCTGGTAGTCGGGTGGGTGGCCACCAGCGAATCCCGGCTATTGCATTTCTATATTCTTTTTTTGACTGGTGATGCGAGTATACATTTCTTAATGTAGTGGATACTGGATAGGACTACACTTATTCCCACCAGCGTAGTCCATTATCAACTTCCATCCTCTCCCTGCCATCTACATTATCTCTGCAATTCACTTCTCGGATCACTTTTCGCTTGCTATTCAAGTATAAACAGCAAGGGGTACGGCCTTCGAGGTTGCAAAAACAGTTCAACAGACGAAGTGCAGATTCGTGGGAGAGAGAAGTGTTAAATCAGAGGAACGGCCACAGCAAGTCGATAAACACCTAAACGACGAAGCCCATCCCAATGGATATGAAGGCGCAGAGTCTCTAGGTTTTCACCTGCAAGGAATGGTGGAAGATGACAAGAACAGTCATGGATTAGCACTGGAGATATTTGCTGGCAATTTAGAAAAATTCTAGCAATATTCTTTCTTGTCGACCAAAGACATCAAGGAAATCTTTGGCCTGAAAATAACAGCGGACAACACCCTTCGGCATTGATGGTTACGGTTTAACCTGTTTCTATTGCATTTGGGACTGCTCAAGTCGCTAAGCATGTCGTTCAATCTTCGTTACATAGCCGAAACAGCACTAAAAATCTAGAGTCAAACCGACAAGTCCATCGACTTCCCCGGGGATATTTCACATACAACGAACTATCCGCTGAAGTTATAATAGACACAATCCTCCCGGTTTATTTTAACAAGTGGGGAATGTGGACTATATGAAACCACTGTAAATAGTTGTCGTGGACCGACGCATAATTATGGCATCGTGAATCCGTCACCAGCCCTCCATTTCTCTTATGTTGATTATGAATGACAATCTTCGAAATGAAGAAGATGAGCTCTTCGCTTCGAGAACGGAACATAATGCAGATGACTTCCAACGATGAGGAAGTCACAGTCAATGGAAGCACCAATTATGCCTTCTCTGGTATGACGATAAATCAATGGCTACAAGCATAGCTGTTGTTGAAGAAGCCAAATAAGCGCCTCCCAGGAGACTCATCAGGCGTCGACTTGACATATGCCTTGCGTGTCAATCTCGCTAGGTAAGCCTTTTCTGTAGAACCCAAAGCTGATTGGCGTTTGGCTGTATTGACTCCGAATCACTTTGCAGCGATGTTGCACATCATCAGAAAGCGGAACGAATAACGTAGCAATTCTATTGTCTATGGAATAGTGACTACCGCATCCAACTTCATCCTCCTCAAAATAGACAATGAGGGCAATGTAAGACACACCCAATGCTGCGTATACAAAAGGAAAATGTACGGAGTAACAGAGGCAGTGGTACAAATGGAGACCCAAGGACGAATGGATGTACTGCCCTCAGAGCGCGAGCGACTACAGTACATTACTCCGCGTGATCATTCATTAAGAATGCCTTACCACATCGCCCAGAGAGAAAATCTCCCCAGGATACATCGAGATTTTAGGAGGACAAACACGCTGATGGATCCCTTTCGGGATAACGTGCTCGCACGTTACTTTTGTCTAGGAGGTTGAGAGTAAGCTTCGGTCTGTGTCGAAGGAGAAGAGATAGATTGGCATTATTATAGGTACCGCGTGAAGAGAGAGATTCAATGGTCCTCATATCGTGACTGATGCAGTAAGAGTCCACCTCAAGACAATCTCGTCGGAGGGCAAAGATACAATGGTACTCGGACATCTCTAAAGCCTCGTATTGGTTGGGTGCTGACTGCTTCTGGTATAACGGGCTAAAGCGTTCTCTGAGTTTACAAACCACCTCAATCCCACTGCAAAACTACTAGGCAAACTACACTTAAGTAATAGAACTATCGATTGCTATCAGTGCTATCAGGGTATAAATGACAATAAACCCGAACTCCAACCGAAACGACCCTCCATATAAAATTAGACCGTGGGACCAATTTTGCAGGTCGCCCATCCCAGATTAAACAAAACGTAGAATACCCAATCCAATCCCGCTGCATAACACGAAAACAATTGACGCTGGCAAACTATAAAAATCGAATTCAAACCGTCTCCATCCCAGTAGGCTAAGCATGATCCATGACGACGTTGCGTGAAAGAGAGCTCATTACCGTGCCATGTCAAACTCGTGATTAGTGAATAGTTTAGGGGCACTCAAGCAAGGATGCCCGATCCGGCAGCAGAAGAGCCCCATCGGAATCGCTTCAGGCCTCCCTTCACTGCTTGCTGGCCACAGGTAGTAGAGGTAGTGCCGCTCCCATCCCCAGCCATACCCGGACCCATCTCCATTCGTCCTACCTCGCGGCCAAGCATATACCCGGCCGAGAAGCTGATGGCAGAGAAGAGTACAACAACGCCTGCGCTCACGACCCATGTCATGACCGTGGGGCTGCTAACAGATAAAGACTCGTTGAGTATAGACCGACGGCTCTTCCGGGATGCTGCCTGGTTTCCAGCACCCCTTGGTGAGCTCGATCGACGCTTCTTAGGAGCAGGAGCGGCCTCAGATGGATATGAGGGCCCAGAAATGGGATGCTTCCTTGGGACAGGTCCAGCTGTATTTCTCTCTACAGCAGCTGGGGAGGCTTCCTCATCGCCGCTGTCCATTGCTGATTCTGGCACCAACCGGAAGGAAGACGCTTGCTGTCTGGGGGGGTCGGTTGGCAACTGTTGGGTTTCCGACTTGGGAAGACCCCGTGCTGCCGCCGCACAAGAGAGCAAAGTGGAAAGACTCGCACGAAGAGCAGCATCATGGTCAGCTTGGTGAGATGGAGAAAGCATATTAAACGGGCTGTGTTGCTGGTTCTGCCGCGCTGAGCGGTTGGACCGCATGCTTGCTTGGGAGTTCATGCGGATCGCCGTACGACGGCTAGAGTTGGATGCCTCGCTAGGCTCAGGACGGCGAGTATCCATAGCCCTAGTCCAAGAAGGGTTCCGGGACGCAGGCGGGTGGGAGAAGACGTTGGGCTGAGGCACGAATCGAGACGTGCTAACCCGTGTCCCCAGGGCCGTTGAGTTATCATCATCATCGCTCGAGGCAGCATCCAACGTCGACGGGGAAGGCCGATTCTGTTGGAGCGATGGTGGCTTCCGGTTGATTTCTTCGTTGGAGCTACTGAGCACACGGTCTGACTCGCTCTCACTCTCCTCGTATTCATCCTGACTGCTGCTTGCGTCTCTCGACGAGTAGCCATTCTGCGTGGTGATGGCAACGTGCCGCTGGCTGCGAGAACGGCTGGATCCCTGCTGTTGAACGCGCAAACCGGTGGTGATGATGTCGTCATTGGCGGAAGAAAGGGATGACGAGGAGGGTTGGGATGCGACCTCGATCCAGGAGTCTATGTAATAGCGAAGTGAGTACATGGTAACAATAGCAACGGTTTAAACGTAGGCCAGAGTATGTACATTATGAGAGCCATAAAGCCGAAACAGAGAGAACCAGAGCAACGACTGGGTAAAGAGGAATAAATAGACATACCTTCTGTTCTCGAGGGCGCCGCACCGGACGGGGAACGTGACTGAAGCGCATTCTCATGCAGCGGCTGATAGTCATCTCGCGTCATACTCCTGGATTCATTGCGCACCTGACCCAGCAGGTCATAGTGGTTTGGTTGCATAGTGTTTCGTTCGAGGGGGGTTGAGATGGACGTGTCGATGAATAGGTGGTAGATGGGTTTAGGAGAGGAGAGGAAGCAGGTCAGACCCGGTACAGAGCCGCAGATGGGACGTCGCAAAGAAAGAAGAGGGTCGTTGGAAACGAGTGGGGGTGCGTGGAGAGGTTGAACCACGGACGGGGATCTTATCAACGTCCACACCTGAGGCACGCACCCTGATTAGAGCAGAGGATCGCTGAATATCACAGGGTAGAGATATAAGACAGAAGGATTAATTAGAAAGAAGTATAAAAGCTATGTTGAAAGTGAAAAGTTGAAAAAGTCAAGGACAGAAATAGACGTTGAGAAGAGGATTAGTTGAGTTAATAGACGACGGATCACCCGACCCGGAACAGGTGACCTGCACTGACTTGCAGTATGCACGCGGAGTCTAGAAGCTGAGTAAGCCTTAACAATAGTCGACGGCGATTATGAATACGAGTAAGTAGTGATATAGAGTACAGGCACCCTATACAACAGAGGAGAGAATAGAAGAAAAGATAGAAAAAGGGGCAAGCAAAAGACGGCGCTTATGACATCTCCGGAATGGGAGCCATCACACGCCAAGACTTCCGCTGCGGGGGATCCGCATTTAGAAGTACTATGCATACCGAGTACGCATAGTAGTAAAGAATTTGTAGAGATGATCATGCAAATGGTATTATTGTCTAGTCATGTCAACATACGATGTAATACATACTAAAAACTTTTGAAAAAACCCGGTCCCAAAAAGCAAAAACAAAGCATACGAGGTATCAATCAAAACCGCCCACGAGCTTAGAAGGTCATCTTCTTGCCCGTGAACTCGGTAATACCGCCCCGGTTCCTGCTACCAGCGTCGAATCCTCCACGGCCACCTCCACGGGGGCCTCCACGGCCTCCACGAGCGCCTCCACGGCCACCTCCACGGCCACCGCGGGCACCGCCGCCACCACCGCCGTTGTTGGGACGGGGCGAGCTGTAGTCCAGACGGACAGGACGGCCGTCCAGGTCAGCACCGTTGAGGTCGGTGAAGGCCTGGCGAGCCTCGTCAACGGACGAGAACTGCACGTAGCCAAAACCCTTAGGACGGCCCGACTCAGGGTCGGTAGGGAGACGGATGCCCATAACGTTACCGCAGGGTCCGAACAGCTCGTGGACGGAGTCCTCGTTGGCACTGAAGGGCAGGTTGCCAACGAACAGGGTCTCGCTTTCGGGGCTGGTCTGGTCACCGAAAGAGCGAGCGCGGTCCTGCGTGCGCTCCCTGCCGTTGCCCTGGTCCTTGTTGGCGGGACGACCAGTAGCGTAGTCGAGGTTGATCTTGCGGCCATCAAGCTCGGTGTCCTTCTTGGCCGCGTAGGCCTTGGCAGAGTCGACAGCGTTGGTGTACTCGACGTATCCAAATCTAGAAGGCATTAATTAACACACTGTCCCTTATCAAAATCTTCTCGCGACGATGAACACTTACCCACGAGAGCGACCAGACTCACGGTCGGTCACGATGCGCACACCGGAGAGTTCGCCGAACTCCTGGAATTCGGAAGCCAGCCACTCCTCATCGACGTTCCACGACAGATTGCCAACGAAAAGGTTGGGCGAGTCACCCTCAGCAGGCTGCTCAGTCTTCGACTTCTTCTGGGTAGGGGCAGATTCCTCGTCAGCCTTGCGCTTCTTGGAGTCCTTGGGCTTCTCCTCTTCATCGGAGTCAGAGTCAGAGTCGGAGCTGTCAGAGCCGGACTCGTCGTCCGAGTCATCTGAGTCGTCCGAGTCGTCAGAAGACTCCTGGGATAAAGTTAGCTACTGCCAAATTACATTTTGTTGTGGAATATAGTATATACCTTCTTGGCCTCAGCGTTTTCGGTCTTGGACTTGGCGGGAGCCTCGTCCTCAGACTCGGAGTCGGAGTCAGAGTCAGACTCGCTGTCGCTAGACTCCTTCTTGGTCTCCTTCTTAGGAGCCTCCTTCTCCTCAGAGTCGGAGTCGGAGTCAGAAGAGTCAGAGTCAGAAGAGTCGGAGTCAGAGGAAGACTCGGCAGGCTTGGCCTCGGCCTTCTTGTTGTCCTTCTTCTGCTCCTTCTTGGCGGGCTTCTCGTCCTCGCTCTCGCTCTCGCTCTCGCTGGAGGCGTCACCCATCTCCTCGTCAGAGTCAGACTCAGAGGAGGACTCGACCTTCTTCTCGGCCTTGCCGCCCTTCTTCACATCCTTGGCAGGCTTCTTCTCTTCCTCGCTTTCGGAAGAGCTGGAAGAGTCAGACTCCTCGCTGTCAGACTCGGACTCAGAGCTGCTGGGGGTAGGCGCCTTCTTCTTGCTCTTGGACTTCTTCTCCTTGGAAGCAACGTCCTTGGCAATCTGCTTGCCCTTGGACTTAGGAGACTGGGACGACTTGGTCACACCAGCATCCTTGACCTTGGACAAGGTCTTGTCGACGGGCTTCTCAGCCTTGGTAGCCTTAGAGGAAACCTTGGTCTTGGACATTTTGATCTACAGTGGAGAGAGTATCGCGTCAGTAAAACAAGCTTTTTTTTTTTTTTTTTTTTTCACAATTAGAATGACCAACCAAATAAAATGTATAAAAATCGGTCTTAAAAGTGCGGCAAAGCTCACAAACCCTCAATCACCCGATTTGAAATGGAATTCAGCACAAATACCCACAAGTAACCCACAACGGACAATGTTCAAGCCCACAGAGATAGACAGATTCCCACAGATCCCACGGAAGTAGATTGCGATGTATCAGCCCTCAGCCCTCGATGTGAAAAGCCCACAGAGTGTCTGTTGAAGTACTATGCAAAGTACGGCCCACGCTACTGTGTCAGTTTGGGGATTTAGAGAGAATCTAAATCCGTATAGCAAGAAAAAGAATATTTAACAGGACAACGCGATCCAGGTTAAAGGAAAAGGAAGAGTGAAAAAAGGGGTGAAAAATGGGAAGATGTTGAGAGGAAGAAGAACAGAAAGAAAAATTTCGGGAGCTTTTGATAAGAAAAAAAGTTCGATGGCTGGCAAAAATCTGTGATCACCGCCTGCCTAGACCAAGCTAGCTCCAGAATTAGCGTGCGGGTCATTTAGAGCTCCGTGATTGGTCCACATTTTATCGGCATCACGTTCACCCAAATGGGAACTGCCCGCAATAACACCAGTTCTCGACGACACCATTGGCTATACTACAAACAAGGCATACCTTTGGTCCTGATTGATGGGCAGCCATTGATTCTTCTTGCTCATTATGCCTCCTCCGATGTCCTCTTCGTATCGCCCGCGCAAAAAGAGAAGGGTCCCTCCATCTTCCGGTACAAACAACAACCTCATTCTGGACGTTGGAGATGGCAAATCGTTGCCTGCGTTTCCTCTGGTATCCTTCCTCTGGGCTGCCAGAGCGGGTGTCTCAACATGGCTGGTTCTCCCTCTCATCCTAATGGCTGTGGGCCTGTTCCGCTGGGCAGTTGGTCTATGGGGTTACTCTGGTATGCGAGCGGTGATTTAATTTGTGCCGGAGGGATTAATAACTGATGGCCATATAGGCTTCCAAATTCCTCCAATGCACGGTGACTTCGAGGCGCAGCGACACTGGATGGAGCTCACAATCCACCTTCCGATGTCGAAATGGTATACGTACGACCTGCAATACTGGGGCCTGGATTACCCGCCATTGACGGCATACCATAGCTGGCTACTTGGAAAAATGTTCGTGAGAACTGGGCTCTGATCTTGGTTTTCTGATTGCTAACTTCAATAGTGGCTCCCTTTTCGACCCCTCATGGTTTGCCCTTGACGAATCCCGCGGATTCGAGGATCCTCGCTTCAAGGTGTTTATGCGTGCGACTGTGGTCGTCTCCGAATATCTAGTCTTCATCCCGGCCATTATTAACTTCTTGCGTCGCTATACTCGGATGCATGGTGTTCCCGTGTGGTCCGCCTCGATCGCCCTCGTTGCCGTCCTCCTCCAACCCGCGACTATTCTTATCGACCATGGCCATTTCCAATATAACACTGTGATGCTGGGACTTGCGGTTGCGAGCTTAGATGCCATTCTTGCTGGACGCATGCTGTGGGCTTGCATTTTCTTCGTCGGTGCTCTAGGGTTCAAGCAAATGGCGCTCTACTATGCCCCCGTCATGTTCGCGTTTCTCTTAGGTGTTTGCACCTTCCCGCGCATTCGGATTCTTCGTCTCTTGTGCATTGGTCTCACCACCATCGCTGCTTTTGCGGTTCTGTTCGCTCCGCTCATCGTCGAGGCTAGTGGGGTCGAAGCACAGGAATACTTCAAAGATATCCCGCAGCCTCCCCTGCTACAGACACTTCCCTTCGAAGTGAAAAAGGATTCCGTGTTCTATGCGCCTCTCTTCCAGCTGCTGCAGATTGTGCACCGCATGTTTCCATTCTCTCGGGGCTTGTTCGAAGACAAGGTCGCGAATGCCTGGTGCGCCATTCACACCTTCTATAAGTTACATCGCTTCGACGCCAGTCTTCTCCAGAGAGCATCGCTTGGTGCTACACTAGGCTCAATCCTGATTCCATGCGCAATTATCTTCCGTCACCCACGAGCCTCATTAATGCTCCCAGCCCTGGCCAGTGTGTCCTGGGGATTTTTCCTGTTCTCGTTCCAAGTCCATGAGAAGAGCGTATTGTTGCCACTACTTCCAATGACGCTCCTCCTTTCCGGTGACGGTGGTCTGAGCAAGGAGACTCGTGCCTGGGTCGGATGGATCAACACATTAGGTTCATGGACTATGTTCCCGCTGCTGCAGCGCGAGAAACTGCGGATCCCATACTTTGTGATGACTTTCCTATGGACTTACCTGCTGGGTCTGCCCCCAACATCTCTCGAAACCTACCGCAGCCGGCCCTCATCCGGAGACTCGAGCCCCGCCTTTGAGCCTAATGTGCTTACCAAGATCCTCCACTTCTGTTTCTATCTTGCCATGATCGTATGGCACGTCATAGAGGCATTTGTTCCTCCTCCACCCGACAAGCCAGATCTGTGGGTGGTTCTTAATGTCCTGATCGGTGCGGGTGGATTTGGCATCGCTTATCTGTGGTGTTTGTGGAAACTAATCACGCAATGCTGGAAGATTGATCGCAAGGCAGAGGAGGATAGCCAGAAAAAGAAGCAGTGATTGCTGTTTTATGAGGAGGGTTGGAAAAATGCGTTTGTTCTTGATACCCATTTCTTTATATAGAGGATTTTTTAAAAGCAATACAACTTGATAGTCTTAAGAGGGAAGACGTTCTATCCATATATCCGTACATCCTTTTTATAAACCCAAGGTGTTGATACTGTACAATTGAGCCGAAAATCATATGCAACCAATCCTCCCAGACAATAACGCTAGAATACAATAATATCGTAACAAATACACCACCGCCAGCAGACATCACTCTTCACCCATATTAGACTGTCCCAACGCATCGAATCATTCTCCGCATCCGTCCTGTCCTCGAGGCAATGTGATGGTCCTGCTAGCTTCCCTTTCCATCTAAAACCCCAATCATCTAGATCTTAAACCCAAATCCCGCCATGCAGGTCTTATACTGATCAATCGTCGACTTGCATTCCTGCGCCGGATCCTCGCCCTTCGAGAAGAGCATGCAGTCATCGCGAGCGGCTTTTTCGGGTTTGCATACGCAGCAGGGCTGTAGATATCGTTACGTTAGCCATGGATTTTGTTCCGAATTCGGATGAGAGGGCAAGGCCGTACCTTGGGCTTTTCAGTTTGGGTCTGGGAGGTTTGGACGGGGCCAGTGGTGGGTTCTTGAGCAGCGTTGCCTATGAAAAGGATTGGATGTTGGTTACTATTAGGCTTGGTCGAATTGGTATAGCATGGATCTGGAGAAAATGTTGGTGGAGGGTGCTTACTGCTGGAGCCGAAAAGCCACGACATGATGTTGATATGAACTGTGCGAGTTCTTTTTCTTGAAGAACAGTAAATTTCAAGCAATGCTCTATGATTGCCAATTAAAAAGATGATTGAATGTCGTGCTTCTATGTCGATTAATAATGCTGCGATGCGCCGAAGAAAACGGCACAAATGGTCCGCTATGCCCACCAAAGCGGCGATTGGCAGAATAATCATACCGCCTTCTGTTTGCAGCAACTCCCCTCCGGCGAGAAGAAAGAGCGACAAGAATTTCCCACATCATCCACGCATTGTTGATTGAGCATACTTTCGTTCATCGAACGCTGCTGGGGCTTTGCTTCGGACTGCTTACGCGATCTTGATTACCTGTTCTGATTTTGAAGAGATTTTGTTAGATTTTCTATATTCACCTTCAGCCTCTACTTTTTGTTTTTCTGCCTCCCCTGAAAAATATACATACCCCGCCATGGCCCCTCCAAAAGTTTTCTCGCTCGAAGGCAAGGGCCTCAAGCTCGACACTGCAGAGCACATAGAAGCCCAGATCCAGCCTCTGCTCGAGAGCACAGACTTCACCGAAGTCCGTCTGGGAGGAAACACGCTCGGTGTGGCCGCAAGCGAACGTCTCGCATCCGCCCTGTCCGCGCAGAAGAACCTCGAAGTGGCCGATCTGGCTGATATCTTCACCTCCCGTCTGCTCAATGAGATCCCGCAGGCCCTAACGGCCCTCCTTAACGCTCTTTTGGAGATCGAGACTCTGCACACCGTTAACCTCTCCGACAATGCCTTCGGACTTAACACGCAGGCGCCACTCGTCGAGTTCCTCTCCCGCCACGTCCCTCTGCGCCATCTTATCCTGAACAACAACGGCCTGGGTCCCTTTGCCGGTACATATATTGCGGAAGCGCTCACCAGGCTGGCGGAGCGCAAGGAGGAGGTTCGCAAAGAGGGCAAGGAGGCCCCGCTTTTGGAGAGCATTGTTTGCGGCCGCAACCGGTTGGAGAATGGTAGTATGGAGGCGTGGGCGCGTGCCTACGAGGTACATGCAAAGGGTATGCGCTCCGTTAAGATGACCCAGAACGGTATTCGTCAGGAGGGTATTTCGCATCTGTTGAAGGAGGGTTTGCGCCACGCCAGCGCGCTCGAGGTTTTGGACCTGCAGGACAACACTTTCACTGTCATGGGATCTACGGCTCTTGCTGGTGTTCTTGGGGGTTGGGCTTCGCTGCGTGAGCTTGGGGTTGGCGACTGTTTGCTCTCTGCGCGTGGCGGTATTAAGGTCGCCCAGGCTCTTGCGGAGGGTAAGAACGAGAAGCTCCAGACGCTGCGTCTGCAGTACAATGAGATCAATGCGGAGGGTGTTAAACAGCTCCTCCGTGCCACCCGGACAGGATTGCAGGCGCTGCGCCGTATTGAGTTGAACGGCAACGTCTTCCTCGAAGAGGATGAGAACGTGAATGACCTGCGCGAGATCCTCGAAGCACGGAAGGACGAGCACGGCAACGATGATGACCCCGAGGACATGTGGGGTGTTGACGAGCTGGACGAGCTGGAAGAGGAGGAGGACGAAGAGGAAGAGGATGAATTGGACGAAGAGGAAGAAGAAGACGAGGCCAAGCAAGCAGAGACCGAGAAGAAGAGCAAAGACGTCGATGAACTTGCTGAGACTCTTGAGAAGACTGGCCTGTAGGCTTCTTTGTTTCGCCCGTCTGTTGTTCTTCGTCTCCATATAAATACCTTCCGGCTGGAGGATGTCTCGCTTGCCGACTCTGGCTGAGTATGTCCGCAACGCGTCCGGAGTATAAGCCTTAAACAGTATCTCTTATTGAGAACGTGAACATCATACTCAATGTGAGCAGTCTCAGCACGCCATCTCTACAGCAACTCTTCTGTCCAGCCCGACTTCGCACATCGGGTCATACCATTTCTTGATGCACGTCATGTCTTTCTTAATTATACCATATATTTTTTTTTTTTGTCCACGCACGCCATGCACTTGTCAACGCGAAAATGTCCTTTTGTATCCCACACTGCACATATGATAACTTATGTATTGGATTTATTCTTCTTGATACTTAGTGATACTGTATATCAATAGACTGATTTTTGTCTTTACGCAAATATTGGATTGTACTGCATATCAGACTGGGTTTCTAAGTTTAAAGGGAATCAAGCTATTTCACGGTTCTCGGGCTTAGGGATTCGAGAATTCTACGGCCATCTAATATCTGAAGACGACTTTATGGTAGTAACGGGATGAAGTAAATAGAGGTAAATGAAATAACAAATCATTACTAGGTATCTCATGACGTTTCTTTGAGATGCTATTACTATGAACGTCTTAGGGCTAGTCAGAATCGTCGTCAACATCCAACTACCCGTCAGACACAAAATGCAAATACTCAAACACAAATCTCGCTTTCATTCCATGCTCAATTCAAGATTCCAACAACAAATTCTTATCTCCAAATATCAACACAGCATCAACCACCACGGAAAACTAAGCAAACAGCTGAGTCGCATTAGACCGAATATGCTGTCCATAAGTCTTGTCGAAACTCTCATCCTCACCAACAGACATCTTATACGACATTTTAGCATACTTCTCCGCCTGCGCTGAGAATCCCGGCTTCGTCAGATCGCGATACGCGAGAATGAGGATAATCCAGCACTCGATGAGTGAGTTCTGGAAAAGTCCAAAGCGCTTGACAGTCAGTGGTATATCAGTTTCGGTTTCGGTTTCGAGAGAGCCGCCTTCGATGAAATATCCCAGGGCCTGGAAAGCTCTCAGCGCGGAGGTCACAGCGTTGCCGGGCTGCTTCTTGCGGAGGTAGATCCTGGCGAGGTCGAAGAGGAGATTGAACAAAATAATACGAGGCACCTTGACCGCAGGCTGGGAGTAAGTATCAGCAAGGCTGGTAGCGATAGACTCAAGCTTAGACGTCGTGTTAGAAGCGGAGCTACGACGAATGTATACAAGCGCAGCTTTATTCAAGTCCTTGCGGGAGTCATGGGTTCCCTTGCAGGTACCATGGTCATCCTCACATAGCACGCAACGGCAGACAAAGCCCCAGCTGCGGAAGCGGGTTCGTTCTTCGTCGAAGTCGGGGACGGGCGGCTTGTAGCTAATCATGACTTCTGAGTTTGCAGAAATGTCTTGGGTTGCGCGGAGGATGAGCATGTCGCCTGTGATTGAGCGGTTGGCGTTGGAGTAGCAGGAGTGGTTGATGTGTGAGGTTGTGGGCCAGACGCCGCAGGAGTGGTAGGTGTATTTGTCTTTGTTGACGGCTACACCTTCGCGCGCGTGAAGGGTTTCTTCGAAGTAATCCTGGACTGCTGATGGTGCGCAGCCGAAGGCGTTGGTGTCCATGATGCGCTCGATTAGGAATCTGAGGTAGTTGGGTTTGGTTAGTTCTTGCTCTTGGACAGAGTCATTTGGGATGGGGGAAGAGGGGGTTCTTACGTATCTACCACTGGCTTGCCATCAACTTCCACCACATCAACGGATTCGTATGCACCGGCGTACAAGTCAGTGATGACGGAGGTCAGTGGCGGATTAGCGTACATCTTCTGCGCAATCGCTCTGATGAGTTCCGTCTGAGTCCCAAACCACTGCTGGTTGGTACCCATGTTGATCACCATGGCCACATCCCGTTTGTTCCCTGGATCTGCAAACGCATATCCAAACGCCTTCTCACAAAGTAGAAGATCCCCAGCCTTGACCTCTTTTGTAGTGAACAGACCACGTCCATAAGCCCCGGCCTCCTTGACAGCCACAGGGCCAATGTAGGTTGCATGGTCCAAGAGCGGCGGACGGAGCTTGTTTGCCGCTGCGTGTAATTTTTTGAAATTGTACATGCCTGTTTCTTGCTCTACGAGGCGCTCAGTCGCTCGGGTAAGCTCTTCTTGGACCGCTGCGTTGCTGGGGTTCTCCTCGAGGAGACTGTTGAGGATCTCGCAGCATTCACGGAACCGCTCGAGGTGGTACAAGGCCTGGACCTTGTGAGTTAGAGCCTTTTCCGTGGACCCTGTAGCTGCTATTGCAGAATCGACATCGACGAGGGCGGCAGCAAACTGCTTGGTTTTGATGAAGGCGATTGAGCGATTGAGACTGAGGGCGCAGATTTCGTCGGCAGTTGAGGAGCAGTCGAGGCCTCGGGTGTAGCTGTCAGGCTGTTAGATATGCATACATGAAGAATTAGTAGCCAGCATTCTGCAGAAGACTCACTGGTCAATAGCGTTATCGTACTTGTGATTGTTGAAGTATTCGTTTCCCCTTGCCTTCCAGGAATTAGCAGAGAGCTGAATGTTACTGCCATCCGACTGCCAGACAACTGGGATTCGCTCATCATATTCTGGAAGACGGATAAGGTTGGACAAGTGATCGACACGAACCCCATGGCCACCATTGGCATCGAGGCGAAGGTACGGCTCCTTCACAACCAGCACCGTTCCCTTTTTGGCGATGTCCTCCACATCACGCTGTCTATCCTGGTAGTGCAGCTCCAGCAACATAACATCACCGCTCTCATCCTCGACAACGGAGAAAATAGCGTTATTCCTGTACGACGGAGTAACCAGCCTCAGCAGAAGATAGCTGTCCCTGTGGTGGTTTTCCAGGAGAAGATCATTAAACATGGCTTTCTTCAGTTCAGAAAAAGGACGCGTGCAAGGCGGGTAGGATGGGGGGAAGAACGAGAATTGAGGCCGGTCAGGGCTCAATTTGTTCATCTTTTCACGTTGATCCATGAATACCTTGATCACTTCCTCACGAGGTAGTGCTTTTCTTGGATGCTGCCCTTTTCGAGACTGGGCGCGAAACATCGCCCGGACTTGCCAGTTCACCAGCCGCATGAATTCCGCGTTGTCCATCTTTTTGGTTCTTCTAGTGTAGGGTTAGCTTGTGGGTATCAAGGAAACACGTCAAGGACTTACTGGTATAGACCTTGCGAGACTGAAGATGGGAATGGAGATGGGAATGTGAGATTAAAGTAGAAAGTCAGAAGTTTGGGGCTGGGTAGGTTAATAAATAAACCTCTCTTCGTGCGCTTAGTGAATAGGCTGCTTTGTTGGTTGTGTTGGTCTGTGGCATACGTCTATAAACGCATCTATTCTTTGCTGCTCATATATTGCGGGAATATTTCTCCTGTATAGAAGTTAGTATACTCTTCGGACTGATGTATCATAATAGCGTATGCGTAGTTTCTCTTCAATCACAGCAGTCCTCGATTCGAAGACTTCTTGGCTTCGACTTGTATATCTATTTGCCTCGGTGGTACGCCGTACTCATATCTTTGACAAGAGCAGCATCAAACCGAAAATGCCTGCTCGTTTGTTGGGCCTGGATATACATGATAGACATCCACCTTCCGGGGCACTTTCCCGTTAGATGGGGAGCGGGTGATGAGATAGTCATCCCTTGTCGTCTATAATCCGTGCGAGATATTGCCTATTCTGCTCTATCATCCCATTGTCTCGAGCTTTCTTCAGTATTGTCTTTTTTTTTTTTTTTTTTTTTTTTTTTTTTTTTTTTTTCACTGCCGAAGAGATCCTGATGGTGTAAGGGTTCCAGCACTTCTGTCATTTGGTTCACAATGTCTCCCTTATTTCGGGCCCGCTCGAGCTATTAGGTGTTGGAAAGTCTACCATTAATTGAAAATGAATAGTAAGAGACAAGACTTGTTGTGTTAGAAACCATCATGGATAATAATACAAGTAACCTGCAGGATGGGGCTGCTAAATGTCACGGCCCAAAAAGCACAATCCGTCACATAGATACAAGCACTCTTATCTTTAGAGTACTACGAGCGGCCGGCTTTCTCCCACACGTATATAACTTTCGCAAAACTCTCTGTGTGTAATCTTCATCGCATGGACACCGATGGCAATACGCGCAAGGGGGAGTGGTAATTTTCTCCTGTAACGATGGGGATGACCCTAACGCCGAACCGCAGGTCAGCTTGGTTCTTAGGCTTCGAAGGAACTGGTCGTTTGTAGGGCAACGCCTAGATACTAGCCCAATTCCTTCTCGTCCTTTGCGGTTGCCACTAGCGTATAACTGAATGTCTGCAGCGATTGCGGACATTTGCTGTTCCTTAGCTAGGGCTCTCTGCTTCTCCTTCAGTCGCGCTTTGTTTTGCTTGTCCTTCACTAGGGGTCTCTATCTTGTCATTCTGTTTCCAAAGAGTCTCTTGTTGGACAATCTGCCATTTTCTGCGCTTCCGTCATCTGGTCCGCGATTTTATTCTGCGATCGATTCGGATATTCTTTTGCTGTGGTCCCATGGAGTGTGAGCTCGATCTGTCAGATGCCAGAAAACAGAGCAGGGCTTAATAATTGGGCACGTACTTGTTCCTCGCTGGAGAGTCATTATGCCATAACTACTTTCGTTCTGCTGCAATTTCTGGAAGCCAGAAACCACCGAATATCGGCAGGATTATCAGGAGGTGTGTGGAGAAGAGTTGGTAAAAGTGTCTAATGGAAGGTAAGCCACACAGTCGATTTCCTTCTTTATCTTAGGTGTTGTGTTGATATGGTTCCAAATCTGAAAGACGAATTGAAACTGGGACAAATTGACACCGAGTCAAGTTAATATTAGATTGCAAGTGAGACGAGGACCTGCTCTTGTATGCTTATAGTAGCGATAATGCTCCACTGTAGAAAAGACAGGTAAAATACGTCGTTTCCCGGATCCACATGCAGTGATAGTGATGGCTAACTAGGTTGTGTGACACCGTTGTTCTGTATATAAGAGTGAGACACGAAGGTGTGTTAAGCTCGTTGCGGTAGTGGTGACACTGAAGGAAAGAAATTCTGCGCATAGGCAGGACTCGTTCAACAAATGGCCCACTCTTGGGCCATCCTAGGTCGTTGCCACGAAAAGCTGAAGAGTTTGAAGTCACAGAGTTGGCACCAGATGTGATACTGGAGTTGTCGTCGGTCTGGGTGGTAGAATCCGATGACTCGTGTTGGGGTGGCTGTCTAGTCCTTGATCAGTGTCTGTAGTTTTCTCTCCAGTTCATTTTGAACATTCACGTCCACTCCTTGTCCTCGTTGTCAAGCCAATTCCTCCTCTTTCGTTGCTTTGCTACTCGTTCCACGGAAAGTCACAGAGCCTTGAATGGAAATAGAATAGGACTTGGAAGCCATGTTTGGCCACCCTTACTTCATCTCTTACAATCTCGAGATCCTCTCATAGTCTAGTACATTATAGGCCTTAGGCCTTAACGAGCAGTCTCCATCGATCCATTCGAATAAGCTTGTTGATGCATCTCTTCTACGGACTATATCTCCGTCTCATTATGTACAAATCGATATCGCTGCACTCCGTACAGAGTACTATCCAATCAACTATCAACCCTTACAGCATTTATCCATAATGTATTCAATATCAGATTCCCTTGCCAACGGTCAGCCAGCCACATTTCTAAGGTGTTATATGCACTCTTAACATACATTACCACATGACACTTTAAGTCATCATCGTCATCCCTACCCACCTTGCGTGCCGTGGTTGTTTGGTTGCCTCTTTTGACGCCCATGGATAGCGTATAGTTTTCGATACTGACACATGATATATGCTAAAAGAAGAAGAATCTTCCAATATATATCATTGTGACCAGAGCAGTATACGCCACATGGCCATAACTTTTGATATCATTCCTTCATATGCTGACATGTCATGACGAAGGCCGATGTCAGATATATATATTCACTTGGCACTTGGATGGCCATACAACTACATTTGCAGGTAAGATATATATCGCTAATCCTGATAGCCCTTCAATGACAATATCGATGTAAGATATACATCCACAACGCACCCAATCTCTACAGCAGACATATCTACAGCTCACTCGTATATGCAGATGCATATATTCTCCGCACCACAGCAACAAAGCCAGAGCCTCACATCAACGCCGTTGCACAACAGCCACCCCCGTCTCCGATTTAACCCACCGACAATGAATCCTGCTGTGCAACACAACTACATAATCTCCACCAAAGCACTTTGTAACACAGCTCCAGGACGTAAAACATCCCCCCAAGAGAGCGCGAGCACCTTCCACAAGCATCCCCAAGACAGACAAAAGCATACAAAAATAGTCCGTGACTGACGGCCCAGTCCAGTTTGTGTACAACTACAACCACAAGTGTTCCTTATACACGGCGCTCAAGAAACCACTACCACTGTAACTACAGAGCACTCCGTAGTCCTCCACCGTTGCATGTAACTCAACCCATCCCATCCCCGTCCAAACGCCAAGATCCCTTTTTTCTTGTCCGGAGTACAGAGGATAGTCGCATCCGACCCAGACTACGAATACAGACTTAGACTACCGTAGAATCACATCTTAACCTCCTCGTCGTTCTTGGCTGTCCTCCATTGACTACACAGCCTCTCTCCATACGTACTATGTACTCCTTACACTGGACTTTGGATTGGATTGCCAAACTCTCCTCACTCATGAATCGCAACAAACAAACCCCAGACTACATGTTAATCCGCCAAGATTATAGTCGCGTCTATCTACTCGGTCGATCCGGAGAACCTTACCCCCGTATTTGCCCATGACTTGATAAGGTATGTAGTGGCACTGGTTATCTCGGTTGAACATGATACGGATCGAATCCAACAAGGGCAGAGATGAGACAGGATGAGACAAGACAGGGATACTCGCCAAGACCAATAAATATCCTGGACAAAGTGGCCTAAAAGGAATGAATGAGACGCAGATTCCTCTTGGCAGATATCCTCTCGAGGAAATGAAGTATGAGGATATGGGATGGGTGGGATCATTCTTGGCTGGACCAAAACAATGAAAAATGAACGAGGCAGTGCGATGCAGGGATGTACAGATGTGCAGGATGGTTGCTCTTGAATAGATAGGTGCTTTGCAGTGCGTTCCTTGGCTCTTACGACATCCTCTTGCTCTTACTACTCTTTCTTGACCCCGACAGTGCTTGTACTCCGTACGATAGCCACAACCCCTGACTGATGATCTTCTGATACAGCATGGGATTAACCGAGTCTCCCCGGCTAATCATCACCCCTTTCAACTATTGCGCCCACGGTGTGCATCTCCATATCGTATCTTCTTGGCGTTGAGCACGGTCACGGTAGACAAAAAGTAAGAGTCTAGGGTGCTCCGTAGGGAGACCACAGAGTACGGGGGATACCGGGGGGGATAGTATTAAGACAGTGCTATATTAAACCGGACTCACATCGTCAAACTTTATCGCGATTAGACCCTTATCAAGATTCAGGCACAAGTGCACTTTGAATTTGACTCATACAGTAGCGTGGGAAAATCACGGGCGTACTGGACGAATACAGTCAGTGACCGAGTACCTAAGCTCTGTACAGTACTCTGCACGGAGACTGAGTGAAACTCTATGTGATGTCATCGCCAATATAGCGATCAACAACGACGATGTCGATACGAGTCGCGTCGCGCTGATGAACAGTTGATCATGGGTACCTACACGGGGTATGATGTTAGTTGTTTTTCCAATTTCCGTGGAAGAACCTGCAACTGTAATAGACCTGAATCATGTGGGTTTGGGCGTTTTGAAACAGGCGAGCTTGAAACAGCAGCTGGAAATATCACCAACAATGGCAGTAAGAGCAGGTGTAGGAGTAACCCCCGAGTACAGAGTAAGGAGGATAGACATGAGGCCTACTGTCTGTAGGAAAGTCACATGACCCGCCGCCACCAATAATGGCATTCACCATTGTCAGGTGGGCAATTCCTCTGAGCAATTCAATTCTGTCTTGAACAACAGCCTTATCTTCAAACCTGTCAGTGTTTCGCGTCGCATCAAACAAAAAAGTTCTCACGTCGGAACCAAAAAACCGCACTGTTTGGTTC